AATAAACAAATATCATGAAAACATAAAAACTAGTGTTAAGAATAGCCTAATTTTAACTCCTGAAGAGAAAAAATGTTTAGTACCATGTAGATTTATTGCACCAAGGTTTTACGTAATACCAAAAATACATAAAAACAATAACAGTTTTAGGCCCATAGTATCAAATATAGGTTCATCATCTTATGAAATAGCAAAATTTATAACACGTAACTGTATAACAAATATACAGTCAGAAATTCTAAAAATTTGTAGAGAAGATTGAAAACCTAAAATTAGAAAAGGAAGATTTATTGGTATCATTTGATGTAATATCGTTGTTTACTAAAACACCACTAGATGACGCTATTAGATGTTTTGAGAATAGATTAATAGAAAACAGAGTACCAACAGTCGAAATTATAGATATATTGAAATTAACAAGAGTGTGTGTAGATAATCCATTTTTCCTAGTTAATCAAAATTATTATAAACAGAAAGAGGGTTTATCTATGGGATCCCCTTGTCGCCGTTGTTATGTGACCTTTATATGGATAGTTTTGAAAATTAAGCTTTAAATAACGCTAAATTTAAGCCAGAAGTTTAGATATGTAGATGACACATTCGTGGTGTGGCGACATGGCAACAGCAAACTACAAGAATTTTTTAGTTATTTAAACAGTAAAGAACCAGCAATTCAATTCCCGTGTGAAATTGAAGAAAATAATAGCATTAATTTCTTAGACGTATTAGTTAGGAAAGAAGCAGAAGGTAACTTAGAAACATCAGTTTATATAAAACCTTTTGTTGTTGTTATGCCGCCACACAAAGAATCATGTCATATAAAAAACCCAAAAAATATCAGCATTTTATACATATGTTTATAGAGCTTTAAAAATATGTTCAAGACAGGAATATTTAAAGAATGGCCCCCCAGTGGCACAGCGGCATGTCTGCGGACTTACGACGCTCGAAACCGGGTTTCGATACCCGTGGTGGGCAGAGCACAGATAGCCCATTGTGTAGCTTTGTGCATAACTACAAAACAAACAAACAATTTAAAGAATGAATTGTTGTTAATTAAGTATATAGATATTGATAGAGGATTTGAACCAAATATAGTAGACAAAGCATTTGAGAAGTTTAACAAAAATGCAAATTCAGTTAAAAATACCACATTACAATCTGCTTATGAAAAAAAAACAAAAAAGAAACTCTAAGTTTGCCTTACGTTCCAGGTTTAACAAGTCAGTTATATAAAGTATTCAAAAAGTATCAGAATTTTTACCCTATCTTCAAACAAATAGATAAGATAAAAGATATGATAAGGAATGCTAAAGACAGAATAGAATTAACAGATAAGACAAGATAGAATGTGAATGTGGTAGTTTTTATATTGGTCAAACTAAAAGATATTTAAAATATAGATCGCAAGAACACAATAGTTACATAAGAAATAATAAAATAGAAATGTCAGCTATAGCCGAACATGTAAAAACTACCCAACGTACAATATTATGGGAAAAAACTTTAGTTTTAGCTCAGCCTCGAAGTTTTATATCATTAAATATTAGAGAAACATTAGAAATAATGAAACATAAAAAAACAAAATCAAGTATTAAATAGAAATGAAAGACCAGCAATTCAATATGTTGATATATGGCGAGATATATTATACTTTCTTTATGGAAATATCGAAATAACAATGAAGTAATGCGACAAGGGGGAAAGTATAAAATAGTCTTGTAAGTTACTCCTGAGGATGACGTAGATCACGTCGAAACATGTACTTGTAGAGATACTTTAAAGTGGAAGCCGTACGGCTTCAATAAAGTTTTTATTGTGTAAATATAAAACGTTGTTTTTAATTACTTATTATAATTTTAAAAAAATAAACACAAGTGCCGGTAGTGCATGTTTAAGAAATGGTTATAACTCAAGGAACGACTCTTTCATGGCGGCTGTTGGAATAGAAACTTCATCTGAGCTTCTGTATTATTGCAATAGTGACTGCCAATTTTTTCATTGTATTCCTCCTAATGTAATGGAGCAAAAAATATAACAGTTCAAAAGATTGGCTTAACTTTAAAGTAAAACAAACACAGTATATCAAGATTTATACACAGAAACATTCAAATGTCAATGTTCTTATAAATATTTATATGTAGTTAATTCCACATAGCAAACAGTTACCAAGTAATAACAGATTATGAACAACCTACCAAACTTAAAAACAGCTGTTACATAATATTTCGGGCCCGGGCTGGCCAGGTGGCTAGGGCGCTCGACTCGCAATCTGTGGGTCGCGAGCTCGAATCCCCGTCACACCAAGCGTGCTCGCCCTTTCAGCCTTTTACACGAGGGAAGGCAGCTAGTCATCACAACCCACCGCCAACTTTTGGGCTACTCTTTTACCAATGAATAGTAGGATTGAG